GGATTTATCAGGCCGAGCAGGTCGCCTTGGGGAGCCCCGATCCTGTTTGTGAAGAAGAAGGACAGGTCGCATCGGATGTGTATAGACTACCGGGAGCAGAACAAGGTAACGGTGAAGAACCGTTACCCACTCTCGAGGATTGATGATCTCTTCGATCAGCTACAGGGGGCATCTTGGTCTTCCAAGATAGATTTATGTTCGGTCTACCACCATATGCGAGTCAGAGATGAGGATGTACAGAAGACTGCTTTCTAGACTCACTATTGCCACTATGAGTTCATGATGATGCCCTTCAGGCTCACCAATGCTCCTGCCGCGTTCATGGACCTCATGAACGGCATATGCAGACCGATGTTGGATCGGTCTGTGATAGTCTTTATCGATGACATCTTGGTTTACTCCAAGACGCACGAGCATCACGAGGATCACTTGCGGGAGGTGTTGGATACCCTGAGGAGGGAGAGCTTGTACGCCAAGTTCTCCAAGTGCGAGTTCTGGTTGCGCGAGATGCAGTTTCTGGGGCACCTTGTCAACCAGAACAGGATTTTGGTTGACCTAGCCACAGTGGAGTCCGTGATGAAATGGGAGGTTCCTAAGTCTCCATCTGAGATTCGGAGTTTCCTCGGGTTAGCAGGCTATTACCGGAGATTCATACAGGACTTCTCGAAGATAGCAGTACCCTTGACCCTGCTGACGAAGAAGGTTGTTGTATTTCGTTAGGGGCTTGAGCAACAGACTGCGTTCGAGACATTGAGGAAGAGGTTGTGTGAGGCACCGATCTTAGCCCTGCCAGAGGGCGTGGAGGATTTTGTAGTGTACTGTGATGCGTCCATCTCGGGTTTGGGCGCAATATTGATGCAGAGGGGGCACGTCATCGCTTACGCCTCGGGGCAGCTGAAGCCTCATGAGGCGAACTACCCGACACACGATCTGGAATTGGGGGCGGTTGTTTTCGCCCCCAAGATTTGGCGACATTACCTCTATAGGGTCCGTTGTACCATTTACACGGATCACAAGATTTTGAGGTACCTCATGGATCAGCCGGATCTGAACATGAGGCACCGTCGGTGGTTAGAAGTGGTGAAGGACTACGATTGTGAAATCCTCTACCACCCGGGGAAGGCCAATGTTGTAGCTGATGTGCTTAGCCGCAAGGCAGCCCCGATCAGAGACAGTTGCTTGAGGATGACAGTAGTGACTTCGCTTTTGGAGCGGTTTCGAGAGGCCGAGCAGGAGGCTATGAAGGAGGAACACCGAAAGAGTGAGCGTATCATGGGCCAGGTTTCCTCCTTCGACTATGATAGCCGCGGGTTGTTGACACTCCACCGTAGAGTGTGGGTCCCATATCATGGAGGTGTGCGCCGGGTTTTGATAGAGGAGGCGCACAAATCCAGGTTTTCTATCCATCCCGGGGCGACAAAGATGTACAGAGATCTTCGTCTTGATTACTAGTGGCCCTGTATGAAGCGGGATGTAGCCTGGTATGTCGAGAGATGCCTGACCTACAGGAAGGTCAAGGCCGAGCACCATAGGCCTCACGGCAAGACACATCCATTGGATATCCCTGTGTCGAAGTTGGAGGACATTACTATGGATTTTATCATGAAATTCCCAGGACCGCACGGGGAGTGGATTCGATTTGGGTCATCGTGGATTGGTTGACCAAGAGTGCCCATTTCATTTCGATCCAGGAGAGCATCTCGGCCGAGAAGCTGGCCGACATCTACATCAGAGAGGTAGTAGCTCGACACGGAGTGCCAGTTTTCGTGATTTCTGACCGAGACATGCTATTTACTTCCAGATTCTAGAAGAAATTTCATGACCAGTTGGGTACTCGCCTGCACTTTAGCACGGCTTTTCACCCACAGACGGATGGTCAGAGCGAGTGGACCATCCAGACTCTGGAGAAAATGCTGCGGGCATGCGTCCTGGACATCGGTGGTAGCTAGGATACCTACCTTCCCTTGGCATAGTTTTCCTACAATAATAGCTACCACGCCAGCGTCGACTGTCCTCCCTGCGAGATGCTATATGGGAGGAAGTGCAGAACCCCGATATGCTAGGGTGAGGTTGGACAGAGGGTCTTGGGGAGTACCGAGGTGGTACTCCAGACGACAGAGAGGATCCAGCAGGTCCGGAGCAGGCTTCAGACTACTCAGAGTCGGCAGAAGAGCTACGCCGATAGACGTCGATCGGACCTAGAGTTCCAGGTCGGGGATATGGTTCTCCTGAAGGTGCCACCTTGGAAAGGTGTCATCCGGTTCTGGAAGTGGGGCAAGTTGGTCCCCATATACATTGGTCCTTTTAGGGTTGTGGCCCGAGTGGGCAAGGTGGCGTATCGGCTGGATCTGCCAGCCGAGCTTAGTCAGATCCACAATACCTTTCATGTCTCCCAACTGCGGAAGAGCCTGGTAGATGACTCGGCAGTGGTCCTCTAGAGGATATTCAGGTGGATGACAGCCTGAACTACATCGAGCGACCGGTAGCCAACCTTGACAGGAAGACGAAGGATCTGAGGACCACAAGGGCTCGGAATGGACCTGGGAGCCGGAGAACGAGATGAGGGAGCACTACCCAGAGCTATTTCCAGGCGTAGCAGACTTCGAGAACGAAGTCTAAAATAAGTGGGGGAGATTTGTAACGCCCGGTTCTTGGTATGTATTTTAATATGAATTATTCATTTTTGCAAAGGGACTCGACGAGTTGGAGGCCCCAAACTTGTCGAGCAGGAATGGGATTTTTGGACGTGGGACTTGAAGTCTACTCGACGAGTTGAGAAGCCCCAACTCGACGAGTAGAGCTGCCAGAGTAAAACCAAAGTTTTCAGGGTTTTACACCCTATTTAAGGACCTTAACATTTCATTATGGCCTCCCTCATCACCTCCCTCAGTCCAGCAAAACCTTAATTTGTGATCATGAGCCTTTTGAGTGTGTGTGAATGAAAAGAGAGTGATTCTTTGACATTTCCTTGAAGGAATGGAAGCTAGAAGTGCTTGGTTGAAGGAGGAAGCTTTGGATACAAAGGTTTCTTTGTCCAAGCAGCCTTATTAAGGTATAAAGTCTATACCTTGACTATTCATTTACTAGATCTCTTCATGGGGTAGTTTAGGGCTTTAAGGAGCATATTTCGGAACCATTCATGGATGCAAGCATGTTTTGGAGTCATGACTTCAGATATGGAGCCTCTGAGGGACTTCATGGCATAAAGGTGCCAACTTTATGGCCATGGGAGTCCCATACAACTTGTGAACCACTTTGTAGGGCTTTTTGAGCCAAATAACCCATGCATGGACGTAAAGTTAGAAACTTTGTGTGATATATCAACCCTAGGGAACTAGATCTATGATTTGAATGCAGTAAGCCCGACTAGAAACGACTGCATGGATTTAGACTATGGGGGACTAAACGAGTTGTTCATACAACTCAGCGAGTTGAGTCGTGGTCCCACAACTTTTTCTGTTACTCAGCAAACTCTTTGAGTCTAGAAGATGACTCAGCGAGTTGGCCATGGTTTAGGTAATGAAGATTGAGGAACTCGACGAGTTCAAGGAGGGACTCGGCGAGTTGTGGGTAAAAGGTCCTGACAATGCTATGAAGATGAACTCGACGAGTTCATGAAAGGACTCGACGAGTAGGATCGAGATTTCAGGGTTTTATGGATTATGGAACTCGACGAGTTGATGGACCAACTCGGCGAGTTGAGTCAACCAGGATGTTGACTTTGACTTTGACCATTGACCAGAGTTGACCCTTAATGGGGTTATAAGTATGAAAGAGTAATTAAAGGATATTGTTATGTGTAGGAGTTTGAGAGGAGTTGATCCCAGAGCCGTGGACAGTTCAGCTACTTCACAACATTGAGGTGAGTTACCTTCCAGTAGAAGTGGGTCGAAGGCACCAATGCCAGTCCACTAGTAAAAGTTATAGTAGAGATGATTTTGTTTTTGATAATTATCTGGTGTGTCACTATCTGTGATGCTTTATGTGCTAGTATGATGTGATGTTATGTGATAGTGATAGGAGGGGTAGGATAGACCCTAGTACCGGTCAATAGGGCCGAAGGGGTATGCCAATACCCGGATAAGCTAGGCAGTATATGACTTATATGTTTATGCACTAGGATGCTATGTGATAGAAGTAGGGGTGAAATAGTCCCCGATACCGGTTGAAAGGACAGAAGGGGTAGGCCAACACCATGATATGCCAGGCGAGGTACCGGTTAACAGGACCGAAGGGGTAGGCCAGCACCCTGATATGCTAGGAAAGTTACCGGTTGACAGGACCGAAGGGCTAGGCCAACACCCTGATATGCTAGGCAAGTTACGGGTTCAAAGAGGCCGAAGGGGTAGCTAGTACCGGGATATGTTAGACAGTATGTGTTATGTATGGTATGTGGTATGATGGGGGAACTTACTAAGCTCTGTGCTTACGGTTTACAGTTTTTGTGTCAGGTACCTCTTCTTCGAAGGGAAAGGAGCCGGCATGGTAGCAGCGCATCACACACACAATTTTCCGCATATGAGATTCTTGGGATTTGTACTCTGACATTGTTATTATATTATGACATGGTTTTGAGACTTATGATCTATGGTTTTTATGGAATGAAATAGCTTGATGATGTTTTCTATAAATTGTCTTATGAATCGTTATATCAAAAATGAAATTTTTGGTCATAAGTTTTGGGATGTTACTGAACTATTCCATTCATTTTATGATTCATGCATTCCAAACACTACTTAAAAGAAAAGAAATTAAGTAAATTAAACCCAAAAAAGTTACAAAAAAAGAAAAATCCCAAAGAGGTAAAACCTTTTTTAGGGTTCAAAGGAGGTGTCTTGATCTCTTGTCTATACAAAAGACGAAAATGCCCTCCATATTGGAAAAAATTAATAAATAAATAAAAAGATGCAAGAAATGAATACAATTATTCGAATTGTTGATTCTTTGAGATGTTGAACTACGCAATTGAGAAGTGAGTGAATAACAATCACCTGAGGAATGTCCTGTTTGGTGACAATAACTACAACTACTCTGCTGCTGTTGATTATTATTACAATAATAACTAAATTTTTTTTGCCCATAATCTAAACATAAAGCTACAATAGCTATCAAGGAATAAAAGTTTACTTACTATGTTATCTGGTAAGAATGTTCCTTAATCAAATCTATTACATGTTCTGACCCGTTTTCTACATTGAACTATAGTACCACCCTCCACACATTTTGAAATTACTAAAAAGGAAACCTGAAACAAACAATATGAAATAAGTAAATTCAAGTCTACTATACTGTAATGATTAAAAAAAGAATTAAGTACAGACACTTTTGGAGAAGAAATCCTTATTCTTTAAATCTGAGCACTTAAATATTAACTCAATTGTAGTCTTTAAATATGAGTTTTCCATTGTTTTTTGGATGGGTGGTGTTGGTTCACTCTATTACATTCACAAGATCCATGGTCAACAACCTATTTGGTTTGGTGACTATCTACATAGAAATGGCAGCAACATTATATAAAAATCAAACTTATAGATTTCATTACATATAAGATAGATAATAAAATAGCAATTTGTTTCATCTTATTCCCAAGATACTAAAAAAAGCAAAAAGATAGATTGTTCATACCTCACACAATGTACAAGTAGCCTCTCCCAGGAATTGTTGTTCATCCAACTTAAGTGTCTTCAACAAACATATTACTTTGAGTGTCAATTCTTTGAGAAAAGTTAATAGATAACAACATTATATAATTTGTTACACCTTTACTTCTTGGCCATGGAGTTTACTATCAACATCGTATACCCTGAACCTATAATGTAAGATGACATTTTGTTTAGATATAATTTAACATAAATGTACATATACGAAATAGAAAATTTGTATTCAAGAACAGTCAAACCCTGGTCAAATCATAGAGAATTCACAATTAGCTTAAAGGAACATCATTTGTGTATGAGTTTACATATGAACCAATCTAACCTTGTACACATGGCACCAATTTTTCCCAGTATCATTAACACACTTCCAAATTATAGACATTATCATCTGGTATTCATGACTGCATATACATAATGTAAGGTGTGAATCTTTTGAGCCAAAAAGAATTTAATTTTTCATTATCTAATGAAAAAAGAAGTGTTGTACTAGTTTCTTGGAGTGAGTGTAATATCAGCAAGAAGAGATCCATGAGGACCCCAAGCCTTATTACTAGTAGCATCAAGAACTAGTGAAAACAAAGATTAAAATGTTAATAACGTGAGGTAAATTATTCAATAAAATATAAATGAAAAAGGGAAAGAAAGAAAGTTACCTTCTGTTCCATTGAATGAACTTTAAGAACTTTCTTGTTAACTCCTATTTTACTGTATGGAATCAATTATAAGATCAAATATCATGAGGGCATTAAATATTACTTACAATCTATTAGATTAGAAATTTAACTTACATGTCCCTGGCAGTTTGATCAAAGGCCTTTTTCATTGTCCCTAAGAAGCATGCAAACACTCTTCAGTTGAAACTATTCATGGAAATCAAGAGACTGCGTATCAAAACTACTCATGGAAATTCAAAAAGAAATTGACTACTTATCAAAACTATTCTTGGAAATTCAAAAAGAAATGCAAAAACGAGTCCATTAAGAACAATTATAAAGCTTATACTCATATCATAATGTACCACTAAGCAAGCAAATTATATTATAAATTATGATTACAACAATTTATAAGGAAATACCAAAGAGGCATATACTATGGATGTTTGGAACATCAATATATAGCTTTATCTAACAATAATTTCTTAATATATATATATATATATATATATATATATATATATATATATATATATTTGATACCTTTCCTCGATTACATTTCCTCCCATTGTCTACTACATGAATGCTTGAGTCCATAACTGCACTTATAAGTGGATCCTGAAACAAGGAACCAAATTCCTATTGGTCACAGTATGTATTATTCATATACTGAGATACTCAAATGTTAATTTCTCTCTGTGGACTATGGGCTGTTAATTCTTGAGATGTCACACAACATGAACAAATCTCTAACTCAATAGCTATATTCTTAACTTAAAACTTAAACACTGATCCTACAAAGAAGATAGGAATAGAGAATAGAAGAGTATTGGAAAAAATACCGACAGTAGGTCTAGACATTATGGAAATCATGATTGTTGTCGTTTTGAAATTGAGCCCCTTGTCAAATGCCTACACCCAATACAAAATTCATATCAGTTCAAATCTAAAACATAATCCATATGATAATTTATATAATCCAAAATATTACAATCATCAGGAAGTAGAAATTGGGGTTAAGATGATAATGAATATGAAAATTATCATTGACTAAACATTAAAAAATCGTAGAAATTCATCCAGAGAGACCGCGGGCTTTAAACTATAATACAAAAGGCAAAATATGTGTAAACAATGAGAAAACCCTAGGAAAACCAAAATTAAGGAGTTAAGGAAGGTAGAGCTTAGAAAAACGAGTTGTGATTTGTGCTAAAAATGAAAGAGAAGTAAGAAAACTATATGGAAATGAAACTTACACACTACTAGAAACCAATATAGGAAGCTGATGAAATACTTTAGGTTTGCTCGAGTTTACGATAGAGGATATCCAATTGATTGAATGGCGTTGGTACGGAAATGGCGACTCAACGAGGAAGGCAGACGGACGAGATGAAAGCCAACAAGGAAGTGATTTCTAAGGTTTTCCTATACATCACAGTGGGGCGATGCAAGTGGACAGCGGTGGAGGTGATTTTCCAGGCGGAGGAGGGATTTGAGTCGACGGAGGTTCGATTAGGGCTTTGGGAGAAAATCGTGTAGAGTATGGGAAGAAATTACAGGGAAGGAATATAAAAGCGGGGAATGAAAATAAAACGAGGGAACGAAAAAAGAAAGAAAAGCGGGGAGAAAAAAATGGAGGCTTCGATTTTCTGCGTGCGATTGGCGAGGGTAAGAAAAAAAGTCGTGTAATTTTTAGTAATCGGTCGTTGTTCCCTTGCTAAGAGGTTTTAATTTTGCGACGGATTATCGAGGGATCGTTTTTGTCGATAAATTCTTACTCGTCATTGATCCCTCGATAGTACCTCTCTAAAATTCTTCTAAAATTCTATAAGGAGTTTGATCGAAGTATTTGTGCGTTCAGTCCCTCAGTAAACCGTCATTGATTACCTATGGATAGAATCCGTCGCTATATCCGTAGCCGAAGGTACATCTCCTGAAAATGATATGACATGAACTATATATATAACGGCGAGAAATTCATATCCTAAAAAATATACATATAACAAGGATCTTGTCTACATGAAAGGCATCTCCAAAAGCAATCCCAATAACTTTAAAACCTATCCAACAACAAATTTCCCACACAACCCATCCTCTCACTTCACAACTTCCGTTTTTTGTAGTGACTTAAATCTTTTGCACTACTCATGGAGGTTTTTAAAATGTAATCTATGAGAAGTGAAGATTCTCACATACTTTGGCATTTTGTAGTAATAATACAACTGAATTGGCTATTGCACACTACTCATACTTTGTAGTTATAACTAGTGATACTTGATTGATTATTCCAAAATTTACGATGCCTGTTTATACTTGCACATAACATCGTCCATCAAAACAATATTAGAGCCACATTGACCGACCGAACACAACTGCACAAGACGGAAAATTAAGTAATCAACTATAAGCCAATGTGGGACTATGACCAACCTGAGGCTTTGCCTCTTATACTAGAAGTCCGAAATTTTAATATGGACGTTGGCGAATTTTGATGATACTAACTTCTAACCACTAACCAGTCGTTCATAAAAAAAATAATAATCAACTATAAGCTCTAAAAAACCAAAGTATCTTCCATAATTAAACACAATACAACTAAACCAAATTACATACGAGATAACACACAATACAATGCTCACTCCCAACTCTGTGCTTGCTTCCATCAATAACATACATGAAAAAGGACAACAATACTAGATTATTATTCTGTCATCTCATTATTCTATATACCCATATGCATCATCGTCACAAAGATATCATAGGATCTAATGATGTCCAGGAAGCTTCTCCTTGATCTTTTCCATCACCCCTTTTTTCTCGTGCGTTTCCCCTCCTTCCCCATCACCTTCACCACCAACGCCGCCTGTCGTTGAGGACACCCTTTGATGCTCGTCTATGTTGTGACCACTAGGAAGCGTTTCTTTGATCTTCTCAGTCACCCCTTTCTTCTCGTAGGTGTCCCCTCCTTCCACATAACCACTATCAATGCCGCCTGCCGTTGTTGTGGACACCCTTTGATGCCCGTCCTTGTTTTGACCACCGGGAAGCTTTTCTCTTATCTTCTCTGTCACCCCTTTCTTCTCGTGGGTTTCCCCTCCTTCCACATAACCACTACCAATGCCGCCTGCCGTTGTTGTTGACACCCTTTGATGCTCGTCCGTGTTTTGACCACCGGGAAGCTTTTCTTTGATCTTTCCCATCACGCCTTTCTTCTCGTGGGTTTCCCCTGCTTCCCCATAACCGCCAGCAAAGCCGTCTGCCTTTGTTGTGGAGACCTTTTGATGATCGTCTGTGCTGTGACCACCAAGAAGCTTCTCATGGCCTTCTTCGCTATGTTGATCGTAGCCTCTCCCTGTTTTAGTGCCAATGTCTGTGCCCGTGCCGGTGCTGGCAAAAGGGGTGGCACTAGATTGCTTGTGATTGGCGTCTCCAAGTCCCTCGTAGCCTGCACCAGTTGTTGTGCCAATGTCGCTGTCGGAAAAAGGGGTGGCGCTAGGTTGGTTTTGATAAGATTCAGTTGCTCCGGTGGCGTGACCTAGACCCTGGTGACCAGTGACACCATATTCACCCTTGGTTTCCTCGGTGGTAGAGTGAAGTGGGTTTCCGTACGCATCAGTTTTCGGAACTGGGTTGCCATACTCATCTGTTTGCCGACCTTCTCCTTCGTATTTCTGATCTCCGTATTGTGCCATTTTTCTTTTCACTCGATAAGGTATAGAAGAAGCTTGAAAACGTAGAGTTGAACACTTCTTCGTTTGTGATTTTCTTGTGTTTTCTTTTATGAGATTTGGGGGTCTTTATATAGAGGAAAGTGAGATGATGAAAAGGTGGTATACGCGATGAAATGAAGATGCATGGCATCTGATAGAACCACACGTTGTAATCATTAATGACTAAACCCATTACAAAAGCTGTTCCATGAGAAGATGGACACGTCTTTTTTAATAAATTCAGAAAATGAATAGATCGTAACCTACATATTAACATATACTATATATAAGTGATAAGAGCCAAATTGTGGAGTCAGGCCGTGTCGACAAAATTTGAATCGTCGACATAAATTTCATATCGGTAAGTCTTTGTTGTTTACAATGCCAGCTTAATTGTCCAAATCTATGAAAATTCACATCCGACAATTGGTTATAGTTATTTCCCCACAACACCAAAAATAAAATATTATCATTTCAGCCTCAATTCATACCCACTTCATCACTTATAAAAATACTCGATCATTAATTCCACCATTCTTATTTTATTATTATTTATAAAACAAAAATAATTGAAAATAAAAATACCTCATTGAATAAAAAAAATTAAAAAATGAAATGTATTTTTTATTCTTTTCTACCGGGGCCAAACCTAACTTATTTTAGGCCCGGTGCAAACACAAAAAAAGACCTCCTCAAAATAGATCTATATAAAAAAACCCTAAATATTATACTATGTTGTAACGGAAATCATTAAACTAAAAAGAAAATAAAATGACCATGTAGGAATGAAACAATGGGGTGTGTTCAACAAAAATAGTTGGTAGCGGGTAGCGGGTAGCTTATGGCTGCAGGTAGCGTTTTGTTAAACGGTACGTGAAGTAACATTTGGATTTGGAACGTTTTGTTTAACCAAACGTTAAAGCTTGTATTGCCAAACGAGGATTTCTGTTCAAAGTAGAGCATTTTGTCAAACGCTAGAAGTTAGAAACTCTCTTAAACGCTCATAAATACTTCGTGCCTAAATCACCCATGGTAAGGGGCCATAAAAGCTTATGCAATCTCACAAATTCGTCTATAACAGGAGATCTTTTAAAAAGCTCCAATTAATTTATATATATACACACTATAAAAAAATTAGAAAAAAACATGTAGCCTAAAAGGAGGGGAACATGGGTGGACGGATACTAAATAGTGCCCCCTTAACGTAGGGCACTTCAATAATTTTCTTAATAAATGTCAATAATATTGTATATAATATAATCTTACTAGGTAAATAAGATGATTTCGGGCCCTGTGCGATGGAACACTTTGAACACCCTTAGGGCCAGCCATGCTTTCCTCCTTTTTTCCCGGGCTTTCTTCTTAATGATTCCTCTTATTTCCTCCAAAATTTTTTGCGACAATGAATGGAGTATATAAGCTTTTCCTCTGTTATCTAGGGGTGTGCACCAAACCGCACAAACCGTATAAACCGCCCGCACCGCACCACACCGCACCGCATAATGCGGTTTAGAACGTTTGTGGTGCGGTTTGCGGTTTTCAATTACAAAGTCGCGGTTTAAACCGCACCGTATATATATATATATATATATATATATATATATATATATATATATATATATATATATATATATATATATATATATATATATATAAAGAAAGTGCATTGTTTCATCATTAGGATTAATAAAATAGTAATAATTGTCTGATTACAAGTTCGTAACAGTTAGACTGTTGGTATGGATAAAAATGGATATATTAATTAGCCTAAAATTAGTGAATATAGTCATACAATAGGAATTAATTAACAAACATATTACAAAAACCAACTTGTTTTTGAGTTTTTTTGCAAAACATTTCTAGTTTCTAGTTTTATATCTCAAAAGATCAAAAGGTTTTTTAGATTTTTCAAAAGTTATAAAATGTAGCAACTCATCAAACCGCAAAACCGCACTTAAACCGCACAAACCGCCCGCATCAAACCGCACCGCATAACGCGGTTTTGAACTTCTGCGGTGCGGTTTCAAAAAAACTCAAACCGCATATGCGGTGCGGTTTGTGGTTTTGGACTTAAACCGCACCAAACCGCACCACGCACACCCCTATCTACTACTTATACTACTGATGTTGAACTAAATTAGAAATATTATTTTTCATAACTTTATAGCACATGAGAAAACACTTATACCAAACTTGAAAATGTCGAACTAAATGAATATAACTTATCTTTAAAACGTATACATTTCATTGAACTTTCTAGAGTTCAATTGCTATTATTATTTTTGAACTACAAAATATACTAGAAAACAAAGTCAACGGGAAGCGGACCGCTACTTTTAACACACAATCCATTAAACACTTACTCAGTCATAATCATCACTTTATTCTCTCTATTGAACCATATTCAAAGAGCTGAATAATAATTGAACTCTTTCATTCAACTTCATTCCATCTCATATTTCATAGTCCATTAAACACTTGTTTAATCCTAATCACCACCTTATTATCTTACTTGCATTATGTATGCATTTAGTTGTAAATTTTAGAAACTATCAATCTATCATATCTTAGATTTAACTCCAGTTCTTAAAAATAAAAATTTCATTTAGAAGTCGAGTATGAAATATTTCATTTACCAAAATATAAAATTGATGAGTTAGCTATAAGAAAAATAAAATGAAAGTTAATTTTTTCGGAAATCTCCAAAAAAATCTCATTATTTTTGAAAAGTTAACAATTTAATTCCCAAAAATCTATTGAAATAACCCACTCTTTTCTCCAACATTAACCCACTCTTTTCCTAATAGCTTTCTAAATAGATATCCTACCAACAATCTAAAGGTAAAAGTTGTTATGATCATAGAATCGTCTCTATTGGACATTT